GGGGGAAACTGGCCCACATCTGTTCATCTGCCTGGATTGTATGTGTGTGGGGGGTGGGGTGGGGAGTCTCTCAGACATTGTGAGAAACCAACAAGAAAGGCAAAAACCACGCTGGAGAACATTTGGAAAGGGACTGAGAATAAAACGGCTGAGGCTGTAATGCTCCTGTGGAGATCTACGGTGTGGCCACCACACGTGGAATGCCGCCTACAGTTCTGGTCACCGTATCTCAAAAAGGAGCCTGCAGGGCTGGAAAAAGCGCAGAGGAGGGCGACCAAGACGATTTGGGGGTTGGAGCCCCTTCCCCACGAGGAAAGGCTGAAGAAGAGTCTCTGGGGCTTCCCACTTTAGGAAAGTGACAACCGGGGGGGGGGGGGGGGGGACAATGCAACAGGAGCTGTGCCTCCCTCTTCTCCTGACAGTACAGCTTGAGGGCACCCAACAAAGTCAATCAGCATCAGAGGTGCAGGACAGCAACAGGAAGTACCTCTTTACTTAACGGCTAACTGAATTCTGAAATCTGCTGTCAGTCAACATGGTGACGGCGACGAGCAGAGATGGCTTTAAAGGGGGGTTAAACAGATTCACAGAGGTGAGGTCCACCAGCTTTGGGTACTAGCTTTGGTGAGTGAAGGGAACCTCCCCATTCAGAGGCAGCATGCCTCCGAATGCCAGGCCTAAGAGACAACATCAGCAGACGGCCTTGGCCTCTATGCCCCATTGGCTGGTCTTCCAGGGCCACTGGCTGGCCCGTGTGGGAAAGGATGTTGGCCGAAGTATCCCAGTCTGACACTCCAGGCACTACATCGCTCCGCCTCTCAAAAGTATTTCCGCCCCCCTCCCTCCCCCAATACATCGCCTATACTCCATATTTTCCTCAACATGTCTAGAACTTCTGCATCTGTAGGGAAGCTCTCCCAGCACAGGATCCCACCCTCCCCCCAAGAGAAGAAGAGAGGCAAGAGCACCGACGGCTGGCATCGGCCCACCAGCCCCAGGACACTCACATTTCCGGGTTGATCTCCGAGACGACGCTCAGGCAGTTGTCCAGGGAGATGGTGAACTCGTGATAGAGCAGCCAGGGCGGAGGGCGCGAGGGCGGCTGGCGCAGCCGATAGCCGCAGGTGGGGGGCAGCTGGGCCACGTGCTTGCTGGTCAGGAGCAGGTAGTTGCCGGAGCCATCGATGTCCCGGGCCACCTGCCTCGGGAGCGAGAAGAGCCGAGCTGGAGCAGCGCCCTCCCCTGCCCCAGGGGACCCAAGGCAGAGAGAGAGAGGAGCCACCCTGCTGCTGCTGCTGCCCAAGGGGGCAGGGCGGGGAGAAGAGCGGCCAAGGGGGCGGCGGGGGTGGGGGAGGAAAGCCGCTCTGACTTTCACCCCCCAGAGCCACGCTGGCGGATATCTCACCCAGACTGGGCCAAATCCCAACCCCACTTTCTGGTCACAGTGACCTCCCCACCGCATCTGTTACTGGGCCGCTATGGTCCCATCCCCCCACCCCTGTGCCCTCCCACTCCCTCCAAGCGCAGCCCCAGCAGCAGGGCTGGCCCGGGAGCACGGGAGGCCGCCCCGGCCCCTGGCCCAGCCAGTCTCGCAGGAGGGGGAGCGGCCGCCCACCCACCTTGAGAAAGAAGCCCGAGAGCAGGGCCTGCTTGACCCGGTGGACGTTGTCCTCTGTGCCAAAGGCCGGCGGGGAGACGGGCAGCTCGATGCGCTCCATGACCTCCAGGAGCTCCGCCCGCACGGCCCGGGCCAGCTGCAGGGCCGCCTCGCTCACGCCGTGCTTCCGGCACCAGCTCTCGGGGTCGCTCTCTAAGGGAGGCGGGGAGGGGAGGAAAGGCTGAGCGAGAGGCCGGCAGGCCACGGGGAGCTGGCTGCGCCCCACAAACCCCTCTCCTCACCCCCCCCCGACACTCACGTTGGAGGAAGGCATTGAAGACGTTGATGAGGGTGAAGGGGAGTGTAGGTGGGCAATTTTCTCAGTGGAGGGTGGTAAGCAGTGGGGTACCGCAGGGATCAGTACTTGGTCCACTGCTTTTTAACTTGTTCATTAATGATTTGGAGATGGGAGTAAGCAGTGAAGTGGCTAAATTTGCGGATGATACAAAGTTGTTCAGGGTGGTGAAAACCAGTGAGGATTGTGAGGCACTCCAAAGGGATCTGTCAAAGTTGGGCGAGTGGGCGTCAACATGGCAAATGGGGTTCAATGTGGCCAAGTGCAAGGTGATGCACATTGGAGCCAAAAATCCTAACTATAAATACACGTTGATGGGGTCTGAACTGGCAGAGACTGATCAAGAGAGAGATCTTGGAGTTGTAGTGGATAACTCACTGAAAATGTCGAGACAGTGTGTGACTGCAATAAAGAAGGCCAATGCTATGCTGGGGATTATTAGGAAGGGTATTGAAAACAGATCAGCCAATATAATAATGCCCCTATATAAATCAATGGTGAGACCTCATTTGGAATACTGTGTGCAGTTCTGGTCACCACACCTTAAAAAGGATATTATAGCTTTGGAAAAAGTGCAGAAAAGGGCAACTCGAATGATAAAAGGGTTGGAACACTTTCCCTATGAGGAACGGTTAAGGCGCTTAGGGCTCTTTAGCTTGGAGAAACGACGACTGAGGGGTGACATGATCGAGGTTTATAAGATTATGCATGGGAAAGAGCAGGTAGAGAAAGAGGTACTTTTCTCCCTTTCTCACAATACAAGAACTCGTGGGCACTCCATGAAACTGCAGAGCGGTCGGGTTAGAACGGATAAAAGGAAGTACTTCTTCACCCAAAGAGTGATTAACTCATGGAATTCACTGCCACAGGAAGTGGTGGCGGCTACAAGCATGGACGGCTTCAAAAGGGAATTAGATAAGCATATGGAGCAGAGGTCCATCAGTGGCTATTAGCCACAAGGTATAG